AATCTGGATGCAGGACATGGTAGTCACTTAAATGAATTATAAAAATGATCCATTGCCAAAATATTAGTAGTGTCATTAGCTTTTCTCAGAATAACTTTACCATAATCCCTTTGATTAAACAGCAACACAATCCTGTTGTCACTATGATGCAATGCAAAGGAATATTGGTTTAATTTAAAAAATATTTATTAATATTGCAAATGCCATATTGTTTTTAGCAACATATGCAAGCATGATTCTCCAGAGCCACTCTACTTATGGCTGTAATCTCACTAGATTTCACAAGGGAAGTAGGGTTGGGTCTGTAGTATTTGCATGGAAGACTTCCAAGGAAATTCCAGGTTACTCTATGAAAATGTATTTGTGTAGGGTGGCATTCTTCTGCTGACGCAGTATTGAACCAGCAGAAAGAATATGATCACAAGAGCTGTCTTTAATTGAGAGGTAAAACCAAGGATACCGAGCACTTGTCAGCATTAAACACCCTATGGAAGTTTTCGCCAGTGTAGGAGTTCCCGGCCAAATACCAGTCTAGATAATTACATCCTGCCTACTTACATTCCCGTGTTGCTTTAAATGGGTAAGGCATTATTCTTCTATTCTGGTGTAAAAGTGGATCCTGCAGCCCTTCCTTGGGCTCTGTTAGGACTATTTGTAGCATGACCTTCTCCATGGTCACACAGAGTCATTTATGTGAACCAATGCCTTGTAGCCTTGTACTACATTTTGGATTTGCCGCCTTCTGAAATCACTGAGCTCATGGGAATTTACTTCAGCCTAAAAACATTGATTTAACCAAAAGCACCATTTAATTACTGACTGTGAAAGCCATACTTACAATCTTGGCAAAAAATTGTCTGATTATCAGATCAGCTTCTGTAGGACTCCCTTCAGTACATGTGACGTTCAGTTTTGGCATGATCCAGCCTACCCTCACCAAAATCAACAGTAAAACAGCAGCATGGTTCAATGGCATCAAGACCAGGGTCCTTACTGGGAGATTTACCTTGGGATCATACCATGTACCAGCAGTGCAGGGCTCCCACACCTCCTCAATTTGAAGCAAGTTACACTGAACAAAGATATAGATAATCTTTTCAAGTCAGCTGTACATTTTAAGAGAGAGTGCAACAAATGGTTAAGAGCTTGCTTTAAAATGATATGTCTATTAAAACAACCAATGTTACTACAGGACTGTTCCCCACAACAGGAATTTGCTTCATTGAAGTGGAAGGAAACCAGACTTCACAAAACCTTCATTACCATGTTCGAGTACCTCACACTAGACCACCATGCTGCCACTCACCAAAGTCCTCTCGAAAGGAAGGAGTTGTTAACATGTTTTCCCACAAAAGGAGCCTGGTAGCAAGATGGGTGCTGGCATCAGTCAGAACTTAGTCTGTGGCAGGGTTGTCAGTCATGATTATTCCTACAAGTCTGTGTTTTCTACCCTTCCAATCACTCTCTAATCTCTCATTTTCAAAATTAATTTCTTATTTCTGGCTTGTCCTACATTATGTAAATTTGAAGGCTGGCTTTAGGAGGCTTTTTCAGTTTAAAAGTTTTTCTAGCTGTATTTGTGTAGGTCAAAAGAGTTTTCCAAGTCTGTTCTCTTTCTGAGTGGCGAGTCTCCCAAGACAGCAAATACAGGGTTTTTATAGACTTGTTTTCATGAAGATTAAGTCATCTGAAATCTGAAATTACTTAGGAGAAAGATGACCATGTTAGTATAATTCATTGAATGCAAATTATGAAATTCAAAGGCTTGAGTAAAGTTAAAGAGCTTTAAATAGTTTCACCAAATGCAAAGTGAGAAAAGAGAAGGCAGGTAGGAAAGAATTTTCATAAATCCATACTTTTCCCTCCTCATTTCATGTGACTTGTTGACCTCAAAAGCTTCTAATATTCACAACTTCTGAAGCCCAAGAGTTTTTTCTCACATCTCTCTCAAAATATAGGGCCTAACTTTTGCCTCCTCTTTTAAATCTTTTACTTAGACCCTTTGGGGAATGAAGTTAACTTGACAGAAAGGGGGTGATGCAGCTGGTTGAACAAGAGCCACTCAATCCACTCAGTGAAACTACAGTCAGAAGATAAAACAAGGTGAAGGGTAAGAGTATGAAATGTGACTAAGCAATTAGGGATTTTCTTCCGCTTCTCCACACAAAGGAGCAAAGAGGACCAAATGCAGCTGCTGAATTTCTTGCAGAAGAGAGCATTCAGTTTCAGAGCAGGAAAGGACTTTGCCTTCATCCACACTGACCGGCTTGAGGAAAAGGAGACAAATGTATCCTATAAAAGGGCACGCCAACCAGACCTGTTGTGTAGCACTTAATCATACTCGATCATTCAAACTCAGGATTACTTGACAGTGCTGGTTTCTTCTAGAATAAACAAAGGGAAAAAGTGAAGTGCGGACTTCACTACCTGTAGTCCAGTGGATTGGCATTAATAAATCCCTACCCTTCAGGGCCCCCTCCTTCACTCCCATCACTACTAACTGCAGATGCCAGGGAGTAGCGAAGGCAAAAGATCCAGGCCGCGGGCTGCGAGGCCGAGGACCGCGGGAGGGACACTTTGGGGCAGTGTGGTGGCCGGTCAGCCGGCGGTGCGTGCCCGCCGCGGCGCTCCGAGCCCGGGGCAGGGCAGGGCAGGGCAGGGCAGGGCAGGGCAGTGCGGGCGGGTGGGCAGCGGGGCTGCCGTGCCGAGGGGGGCCGGCACGGGGAGCAGCTCCCGGCACAAGTGCGGAGCGGCGCCCCGGGGCTGCGCTGCCTCCCGGCTCCTCGCCCCTCACCTCCGCGCTCCCGGGACGGCCTTTTTGGGCGGGAGGGCGGGAGGGGGTTACCTTTTCTTAGGGAAGTCCCGTCCCTTGCCAGGGAAACTTTTTACGTTCCTGTGCGTGAGAGGCAACTAGTTGCACTCACTTAAGTGCGAGGAGTGTTTGGCTTCTCCCGTACCAGCCTCCTCCTCCATCTACCCCCCCTCCCCGCCGTCACGAATTTCCCCTCCCGTTTTGCTCCGAGTTACGCTTTATTTGTGTGTGGAGAAAGGGGTGGGGGGGACGACTTGTAGGGGGGATGTTCTGTTTTAGCCAGAGGAGCAGTGCAAACGGGGAGCCTCGGCTCGGAGAAGGTACAAGAATAAATAAATAAGGAGCGGCCCTAAAATAAAGGTAGAGGCATAACCCGGCAGCGAGAAGGTGAGTGTCTCTGACTTCCCCGTCCCCGCGTCTCCCTCCCACCCCTCCTGCTCGGAGGTGGAGGAAACGGGTTCCCTGCTGCATGTGCATGTGTCCGTGGAGGGGGTGTGTGCGTCTGCTTGGATTTAGCGTTTATTTAGCACCGTTTTCGTGTCGGTTCGATGACAGCAAAAACAACAACAACAAAGTTGCTGTAAAACAAATGTGATAGGAGGGAGCAGCGGAGCCGTCCATAGCGGGATAGAGACGAGCTCTTACCCTGGCTCCACGCGTTTAATTGCAAAAAAACAAACTAGTTTTCCGTGCGGACGGGGTGAATTTTTCCACGCCCAGCCGGACTTTCTCCCTCTGCCCAGGTGATATTCCCTGCCGTTTTGCCCTCACCGCTCTTCGGCTGGGTGTTACCGGGGCTGCTGGGGTAAGCCCCAGGACAGGAGCAAGCCGCGACGGCTACCGTCGCATTGTTCCCCGCTTGCGCCTCCCGCCCACTCCCGGTGCGGCGGAAACGGGGGGCCCGGGCTGCGCCCCGAGAGCGGCCGGGGGCTGCTGGCCCGCCTGGGGTGGGCGACAAGGCTCTGCCGGCCGCCAGGTCGCTCTGCCGACAGGCTGCCCCTGCCAGGGCCGGCGGCGGGGCCAGCGGCGGCTTGACCGGAGGCTGGGAGGGAACAACGTTTCTGGCGCAGGGTCTCCTCCGGACACGGCGGCAGGAAAACACGCAGGGATGGCAGTCCCGTCCCGAAAGCCCGCTCCTCCAGCGAGGGTCCGGGCATCGCGGGGGCGAGGCAGCCCGGCCGGGACTCGGGAGAGCAGGCGGCAGCGGCAGAGCACTCGGTCGGTTCCGCCGCCCGCCCTCGGCCCCGCGCAGCGCTCGGGGGCTCCGCTGCCCGCCTGCCCCGGGGCGGAGCGCTGCGGGCGTGCCGTGCCGTGCCGTGCCCGGGGTGCCGGCGGACGGGGCAGGCTCCCTCCCGCTGCCTCCTGGCCCGCAGCTGCCGCGGGCGCTCCGGCCGCCACTTTTGCCAGTGTCCGAAGAGAGCGGGGACAGAGCTACCCGTTGTTTTTGTTCCTCTCCGTTTCCTCTCCCTGAGGGATGTCTCTTGCCCTTCCCCTCCCCTCCCCCGGCTTGTTTTTCTTGTGGTTTAAAGACAAAACGTTGCATTTTCGGGTCGTCCCACCGCGCCCCCGCCCCCGCCGCTGTCCCTGCTGCGCCAGCGGACGGGGCACGGGGAAGCCCCGGCGCTGGGATCCCGCCGCCTTTTCCACCGGCGACACGGGGACTTATGTTTTGGTTAGAAAGCGTTTCCACGTGGGTAAGCCGTGTGTGTGTGTGTGTGTGTGTGTGTGTGTGTGTGTGTGTGTGTATGTGTGTGCGCGCGTACTTGATCCGCGAGGAGGTAACAGGATTCTCCGTGTTCAAAAGCAGTGGGCTCTTAGCCATTAATCTCCTTCTCCTGCTGTCATTACAGACACTTCCAAAGTCAGATACCCGCGGAGAACCGCCAGCTGCGTTTCACACGGCGGTTCTCCCCGAGCCGCGGGGGTTCCGCGCCGTGCCCGGCCGGACACGGGGCTGCCCGGGGATCAGCCCCGCTGCGCCTTCCGCCGGGAAGGGAGAGCGGGATCCCACGGCATCGCCGCTGCCAATCGGTAGTTGGCATCTAGAGTTTCATTTACATTTATGAAAGTGCCGCTCGGAGCCAAGCAGGCGCGGTGCTGCCGGCCCCGTACCCGCGGGCAGGGCTTGCAGCCGGGCTCACGGAGCGATCGCGAGTGGCGGTGTGAGATAGCTGGTGTTTACAAAAATCCCGGGACTCACGCTGGACCAGACAAGGGAGCGACTTGGCCGGTTCCAGTTTAAGTATGAAGTCATGCTAGAACAGTAAGGAACCAGTATTTACAGTTTTCTGAGTTTTGTTTTACGTGTTTCATTTGCGGACACTAGAAAGCGTACCTAAGATAAACTAATCAGCGGTTTAGATTTAGAGGGAGTTATACAAAGAAAGCATCTTTTCTGTTTAGCAAATAGATTTTCTGGTCTGACCTCGGAGTTTGATGTTAGAAGCATGTACTTTGCAATAAATCCCAGGCCGTATCTTTGTTTCATTTCCTTAACACTCAAAAGAAAAGTTTCGCAAAATTTCTGTGGGTTTGACTCTTCCCCTAGTACTTCTGAAACTGCTGCCGAATAACAAATGCTTGCATACTTGCAGTATATATATCGTACTGTGAGTAAAGTGGAAATACAGACTGACATTTCTCTCTCTTCCCGGTGATTCTTTCTCTGATTGACATCTAGCATAAGCTGGGCTGTCTGAAACAGCTCTTTTTGCTTTTTTTTTTTTTTTTTTTAACTGTTATTTATGTTTCCAAATGTTCTTCAACCAAATTTAATAGAAATGAAAGTGGAGTATGTTGACGAATCTTTTATGTATCTTTGTTCAGATAATTTGTATGCAGTTATTAATTGTTACATGTATATTGTGGTACTGATAATAAATTTAGTTGAAGGTTACTCTTGCTGGATTTGTATTTATTAATGGCCTCGCAACACTTTGCAGTGTAAATTTATTCTGTATGGATAATGTCAATGGAATAAATAAATCCTAAACAAGCAATGTACTGAGTAGGACACTGGTGAGTTCTCAGTTAATTGCAGTTCCCAGTTAAAATATTTCAAACAAGGCAACTGTAGAAATACAGCTATAGATAGTATCATGTCGCATATTTTTAGCATCTGATGCAAGTGTTAAAGTTTAGCTCTTTAAACTTTGTGCAGCTCTTTAAACTTTATGCAAGTCCTAGAATTAATGTTAAACATTGGTATTTAGTGAGGGAAAGGTACCTGTCTGTTTCCTTGATGATCTGGTGGTATTGGACGATGTAGTGTGCAATCCTTCAGTGTTGAAATTTAAACAGCGTTTTACTCTCTTAAATACGAAAGTTGCCGCAGAAAGTAAAAAGAAATTCCTGGAATTTCTGTTAAATGCTCTAGGACGAAGCTATTCTTTCTTTTTTCTGTGTTATCTTTTTCTTTCTTGAAAGTAGAGATTTTATGAACTCAGGGTAAAGCAGGTCTCCCTTTTTATAAGGAGCGTTTATTCAGCATACTTCTATATTGCAGCTGCTGATCATATTTCATAGAGCTGTTAAAGCACTTAAAACCTAAAATTAGGTACCGTCTGGTAGTAAATATTTCAAATCACTCCTTGAAGAAATGGGCTTAAAAAAGAGACATTTTGAAATATATCGTTGAGGAAAAGTAATCTTGCATTGCTTTTACTCAGTGCAATACCAATCTAAATCACTGATTTCAACACAGTGTACTTTTTCCTTAGGTTTTCTTAATCTCTTGGATTTTTATTGTGATTTTATGCTGGCTTTATTTGATATCATAACCAGCTACTTTGTTCAAGCTATGTTTACGATGGCAACGCTTGAATTAACAGGTGTCGAATTAACTTCCAACATACCTGTATTTCCAATGAGTATTCTTGTGATACTAAGAACTGAAATGTAAGTTTCCTCGCTTCCTGGTGTGCATGTTTCTGGCTCTTAGTTGCCGAAGATGTACACTTGTTTTTTTTCCAGATTTTGGATGAGTTAATATAGATTAGTATTTTCAAATTGAGAGGTGGGTTAGGTTTGTTTTTAAGTTAGGCATAGGAATAGGTTTATTTGCTCACTAGTTTTCATTTTCGATACTTGTCAGGGATTGCAGGAAAAATGCAAGCACAAGGACGTCAGACTGACGGACATATGTCAAATTCGTCGAGTATTTTTAAATCTTTTTGGAAGTTCAATGCTAAAACAAATCTGGTAGCAGCAACACTCAGATGTCTTTGCTCTTTTCTTTGTACTTGAGAATCCAATAGTATTTCCATTATCTAATATATTTACATTCTTCTTGACATTTTGTGTTAAAAAAATCATGGCATTTATGGTATGCAACTGGAAGAAGAGTGTTGATATTCAGTCATTGATCGAGAGGTTTATAATAAGTGCTATCTTTCTTTTTTGGATTTAAATATTGTGTAAATGTGTGTCCAAAGTAACCTTTTTCTGTCATTGAAAAGTGCTAATTGATCTTGCTGACCCTGACATAATAGTATAGTTTGATATTCGAAACCTTTCAGCTTTGGCATGGCCCTTTTATCACCTCTGAGATTTCAGGGCATGGTTCTACTGAAGGCATAAACTGCTACTCTTTGAAAAATTAAATAAAAATGGTTATTAAAAATAAATTACTGTCTTTTAAACTTAGTAGATGCTTTACCTATCAAAGCCTCAGGCTTTACAATATGCATTAAAAACTTTCTGATTTACTTGTATGTATTAGGTGACATTTTAGATGTTGCTGTACAAAAATCAGATTTTTATGAAATAATTTTTGGCCAATTCCACACTTCAGTCTTGCAGTGTTATTAAATCTGTCTTGAAATCAGAAGTGGTTAAAGGAACTTGGATACACTTCGCATTGCAAAAGCTCAGATAAGAAGAGTGCTTATATGTCAAATAAATAATAAAATCTATTTGAAAAGGCAGTAAAACTCACGTTTTTAGTCTACATGGCAGTTTGCAATGCTGCCAGAAGGATTGCTTTTGGGATGCCTGTAATATAAAGGCAAAAGCTATTTTAAAGCATTTTCTTCTTTTTATCTCTAAGCCTGAGAAATGTGTTGAATAGCCGTCTGCCTTTTTGCTTTAACATTAAACAGTGAAAGTTACTTTGATGATTGATTATCCTATATTGAAATGTATCGCTGGGCAGTCTCAGTCACAGAATTGTATAGGTTAGCTATCAGGCTTTTGAGCAACATGTCAAATGCTAATGGCTGTCTGAGGAATACTAAAGTTTAAGCATTTTATTTTCAATTTGTTAAAAATTTCCTTATTTCTCCAAGGAAGATTATGATGACTAGTGATTATCTTCAGAGCTTCTCACTCCATAAGCCAGTGAGACTTATTTGGTTTTAGACTGTTAGGCTTGGGTAGTAGACACTAAAGTTTGAGTTAGGCGGAAATTATCATGGATTTGAAAAGAAGTAGTTTGGAGGATTTCTATGCATAAATTAATTTGGACATCTATGTCTTTTTCCTAGAACTAACTAACTAAATACTATTACAGTGACTTTTCATTAAGCAGCTGTCTGTAGAAAGACAGTAGAAGGCAGTTCAGTTGGACGTAATTTAAATGTTGTCTCTGAAGAACTCAGTCTGCCTGGGATGACTGAATACTCTCTTCTCTTCACACTAGGGTTGTGCAAAGCTCTACAATTTGGCTAATTTGGAGCAGAAAATTACGAAAACAACCTCTCAAGGCAACCTGAAAAATATTCACACAAAGACTGATTTTTGCATAGGTGTTAGCTTATTACTTATGTGATTAAGTTAGTATGCGCTAGATTTTTTGGCAGCATTAAAATTAAATACTATTGTGATGTGACCCAGTATAAGCTTACATTCTCAGCAGTGTAAAAAATTACTGCTGCCTTTTTTTTAAAATTGGGTAGAATAGCAAGTAGTTAGTCTACTCTTGACATATATATAATTAAACCACAAAAACCTACATTAAAATACCATGAAGGGTCTGATTTAGACCATAAAAGTAAAAGAAACACAGAGCTGAGTTTGCAATTTTTCAAATAATTCTCCTCTATGACTATGTGTATATAACTATTGAAATCAATGCTGGTGCATGAGGTAATTGGAAACTTAACTTGATGTTTTGTGCCAGATACTTAGCTGTTGCAAATTGGAGTAGGAATGCTGAAATTACTGGACTGGTCTCACATTATGCCAGATGAGTATCTCGTCCTCTATTCTTAGTTCAATCTTTTTTGGTGGGGTATTGCGATATACATTATATGTATGAAATCACATGCACAGAGAAGTGATCCTGCAATACTTGGGGAAAAAAAGACAGTTAAATATAAATGTCCAAACTATGTATTTTTTCTTCCATTTCAAGGCATTTCATACTACTACATTCAAACTTCTTTTTTTTTTGGTAGCGTTTTATAAATGACCACAGAAATGCCTTTTACAGTAACTGTCTTTTTGAAAATGATGCAGTTAGAAATATTGCTAATTGTCTGTATTCTTTTAATTCTTTTACAGTAACTTTGTTGCTCAAAGAAATAAGTAATTAGTTTGTGCTTATTCAAAGGCATTACATGAATGCCAAGCCTGTTCAACGAAAGGAATGAAGTCCATGTTAAATCCTACCTGTATGTTTCTTTTTATTCACTGTAGTATATTCCCAGAACATCACAGAAAATGAAGTTTACCTTACTCCCAAGAGAGAGCAGCTAAACTAGTCTCTGTTCACTTCAGTTTATGCATCCTACTGTATGTGAGGTCTTTCTTCCAGCTCTCCCGAGTGTCCCAGCATAGACATGGTCTCACAAAACCGGGCACAGCTCAGGGAGATTGTGCACATTTCCTTTGCCAAGCTCTAGCAGTGCAACTCAGACTGAACCTAGCACTTCTGTACTGGTCTTCTTAGCACAGAGAACTGGGAAGTTGAGAACTAATAGGGCTGAATGATATAGAGGTTTTTACAAATGCAGCGATTATATTCTGGGAAAGGGTCTTGAAAATAACATTTCTTGTTACCCCAAGCCAAGATTTAGACTGTGGTAGCTTTTCCAAATGGGAAGATGAAAGTACTTTTCCACTCAGCCATCTATTTTTGTGTTGGTTCTAATCTGGCATGGTAGAAGAATCTAGGATAATGTTCAAATTAATTTTTTTTCAGTTAATTGCACCTTCAGAGAAGCAATTTTTATGTTCAAAGCACCATCTGAATCCTGAGCTCACTGTGCAGCAGTATAGCCGGGAGTTACCTGCAACGTGAGGTCTTCCAGCTGAAATGGCTAG